CACTCAAGGCTTAAACTAAATATAAAACCACAGCAAACTGCAAACAGTCTCACGTGAGAAGCTGGAGTGTGCTTTGGTAATGAAGATTAATAGCACTGCAGATTGCTTCCCCGCTGTACGCCCGGTGATTAATTTATTCGTTGTTTAATTTCCGGAACAAGTTGTTTAACAGCCCCTTCAAAAGCAGGACACATTAATGGAGCAGCAAACAAAACCCCCAAACTCCAACAAGCTACTTTCATACACTTTATTTGATTAAAGTTGATGGGGTATGACGATCTGGAATGATTGCAAGGGCAATTTTCTTTCTTTCTTTCTTTCTTTCTTTCTTTCTTTCTTTCTTTCTTTCTTTCTTTCTTTCTTTCTTTCTTTCTTTCTTTCTTTCTTTCTTTCTTTCAAAGTTTGAAATGAACAAAAGTGCATTTTGAAATTCATAACTCACTTAACCTTTGAGTGAATGTACTGCAGCAGAGCAAGGATGCATGTTCCAAAATAAAACCTGATGGCTGAAGAGGAAGCATAACCCTGCAAAATGCAAAAGGTTTGCCTCAGAACGCAATGTTCAGACAATTAAACTGACAAAGACTGATGACTGCTGAGAAAATCTCTCTCTCATCAATAACCTGCACCGAATGCCTGATCAAAGTCAAACTTTGCACTGTGTGCTCTCTGCTTCTATTATTTTACATGCGTTAGCTATGAGTCTGCAGGCAAACAGCAGCAAATGTCAGACATCAGCGTTTCGTGCTCTGTTGTTTTCTTTCTGACTTCTGAAAGCCATCAGTCAAACAGCAGTACCGGTTTACTGCTTTCTCCGCCTGCTTGGCTGCAAGTCTCTCCAGTCTGCAGATGAGGTCTTCTCTTTGTATGTGCAGGTGATTTTCGCTTTACACGCTCAGGAGTCAAGAGGCAGAAACATGCAGACAGAGGAAACAAAGGTTGAAAGATTTGCATAAAACACTGCTGCAAAATCCACTTTATAACTCAGCATCTTTTAAAACAAGAGATGAACCAGCGTGCTGTATAATATAAATATAAGGATAAAAACACACAAGCAATGAAACTCCAGTAAAATAAGTAAAAATGAAGCCAGACAAAACGTTACATTTTCTAAAAACAGATTCTTGTTTTGTTCTGCCTCAACTGGAAGAAACTTAAAACCATTGTTCATAATCTGTAAGGTTTGTAACGGTGCGTTTAATGTAAGGCATGCAAGGAAGATTTAAAATCAGAGGTACTGCCCGGTCATAACAGAATAACTTCCGCTTTGTTTGCACTAAACAGAGGTTCAAAACATCACAGTTTTGATGTTGTCAAGGCATTCTTGAGGTGAAATGACTCCAAAAAGGAGACCAAATGAAGAATATAAGGGAGAAAAAAATGAGGGGACAAAGTGTTGAACCTTGTTGCACCTCAGAATAAAAATAGACACAACAGTTGGATGTAAAATTATCTAATACGAAAGCTTTATTTTTGCCAGATAAGTTCACAACCAGTCCAAAATTAAACCTCTAAAGTCTTTTACAAGATAAAGATGAAAAATTATTGAAATTTTTTAGAAACTCAACAACAAAATAATAAACACGACTTCTTCTTTAGGTTAAGTAAACATCCCTGAATGTTTTGACTGATGTCTTGAAATATTCATAATGATTCATTTCAACTTTATTTATTCCCAAGAGGTGATTTCAAGCTATAGAAGTTGCACTACCAGTAGTAGTATTATACTGCCACCACCGTGCTTCATTGTCATTCTTTGGCGATTCTCTGAGTTGTTTTCGGAAAACCTTCAATTTTGATTGAAACAGAATATTACACACTTTTCCTAAAAGTTTTTTTAAGATCTGGTACAATTTTACAATAAGGATCCGCTTAGAGTTCATAGTTATGTTACTCATTCATCTATAAACACTTAATAAATCATTAATAACTGTTTATTAGGCATTAATTAAGGGTGAGAAGGAAGCTATTTGCAATTATTGTTCTTACAAGGTAGTCTGAAGTGTTTAGTATAACAACTCTAGATAAAATAAATGGTGAAGAAACTTGGCTCGCTATTTGACAAATGAAGCTTTTGTCTCATTCTCAGTTTAATTAATGCATAATAAACAGTTATTAATGATTTATAACGTGTTTAGAGATGAATTAATGACATATTTATGAACTTTTTGTTGGTAATCTATAAGGAAAGCGTTATTGTGATGTAGTATTTAAGATTTTAACCAGGCCAGGATGTTGTCTTTGGAAGAAAAGCCCTTGTAATCTTACTCCTTAGACTAGACAATTGGAAAATACAGAAGATTGTTGTCACATGTGAAATATTTTGCATCTTTCCCTCTACTGACAGATTTGTAGAAAAATACCCTTATGATTCTTTGTAGCCTCTCTGCAAACTTTGACTTTTGCTAAAGGATGCAAGTGTGAAAAATGCAAGAACTTTATTTCAGATGATCTGATTTGGTGGAAGTGAAGTCAAGACTGAATGCTGAAAAATTTTCTCACCTAGGTTTAAGTTTAAGGACCAGAACACTTTTGCAACTAAGATATTTGTATGTTTTTGTAGAAATGCCACATTTTATGTGGAAAAAGTTTTAAAATTATGTATTCTGGTTTCATTGAGTTTTAAAAGGAATCAGAAGGCATTTAAAAAACATCTGATCCTTCAGTAAAATGGATGTTGCTACTCATTAATAATCAAATCTGATAGTAATTATCTGCACAGGAGACACATGGACACTCATCTTGCTTATTTAATGAGTTCAGGCCTCAAATTTAAACTTTGAAGACAAGCAGGAACAAGATTTTAGACGTATAAGGACAAATATTCATGAAAACTGACAGATTTGCATAAAAAAGGGGTGCCATGTCCTACTAAAGATCAAGCCCATCAGAGCTCTATTAATGTCAGAGCATTTGATTGTGACCTACATGAACATGTAAAAAGGGGTGTTTGATGTATTTTTGAGACATGAATGCTGCTTTGTGGGTCACGTACAATCCATAAAGAAAACTTTGTTCTGCATAATTATAGCAAGCGCACATGTGAGCAGCTGTTGAATCTCACTGATGCTGTTTTTTTTTTTTTTTTTTTTTACATTTCCTGCCATGACCCACAAACTTTTACATGCAAAAACTGGCCTGTGCACAAGCAGACAGATGTCAAATGCACCAAAATTAAGCTCTGGATTAAGCTATTTCCCTCAGTGACGTCAATTTAAATTAATATTGATGCTGCAACACAGAACCCCGACTGACCTCTATCTCCCTGTTCCTCCTGATGTGCTGCGTGTTTGTAATCAGATGGCATGGAGGGAGCAGCAGGGGTCTAACACTGACTGTGACTCCGTTGACGTTTTGCTGACATGCCATCTTTTTGCAGGATAACGTCTTAATTAGGGAACTGCCACTTTGCAGAAATATCCTCAGCGTTTAATTTCGTTTGCTTCACAGCCTACAGCAATGTTTGTTGTTAACTCCATGCATGTTGGTGAGGCTACAAGCAAAAACGTCAACGTGTTTTAAAGGGATTTTATGTGGAAGACGAATAGAAAAGTGGTGCAAAGCGGTGAAATAAGAGGAAAACAAAGCACGAGTTTTGAAAACATTAATTTGAATTAAAATCTGAAAAGTGTGCACCACCTTTTGTTGCGACCACAACTGTGAGAATAAAACTATTCCTCTGCCCTTTTCTCCTAACAGGTATTTATTTATTTATTTATTTTTAACAAATTTTCCCTTAAATTAGATCAGTTTATCCTTGCAGCAAACCTAAAAACATTTCATTTTCCTCTTCTAATAAAAGCAACCTCACAGCATAAAGCTGCCATCAGTCTGTGTCGTCTTAGGGGTGGAGTGTTAAGAAGATGTGCCATTTTAGTTTCACACCACAAACATTTTGCATGCACTGCAAAAACACTAAATCTTACCAAGTATTTGAAATAAGCCAAAACTAACATACAGGTAACTTTTAGCAAGACATAGGAGCTTGTTTTAAATCAATAAATTCATAATATCAGTGAAAAAAGTACTATTTCCATTGGCAAATTATCTAACTTATAACAAGATATTTTTCCCATATAATAAATTTATTTATCTGCCAATAATCTAGAACTTTTTAATCAATATTAAGGAATTATTTTCTTAAAACAAGCCTCTATATCTTGCTGAAAAGTTACTTTTAAGTTAGTTGGTCTTAATTTAAGTGTAATAAGATATTCAAACTAGAAACTGAACCAGAAATACTTGGTAAGATTTTGTGTTTTTGCAGTGTATCGTTGAATTATGTGAAATGATCACAAAATTACGTATAGCAGAGTGATCAATATCTTATATCCCATGTACTTGGTAAAAAAAAAAAAAGACTCCTCACGTACTGAGTAACTGATCAAATTATCAATCATTAATATTTAAAAATGACACAGTCAGACAGACCAAAATATAAAGTTGAATGGAAATTTTGGTGTTTTAAGGCTGAAAATGACAAAAATTCATATAAAATGTAAAAATTAACAAAATCAGGTGAAATATTTATTTCCAAATCAGTTTCTTTCAATAAAAAAACTTATAAAACTTTAACAAAAACTGCAGGTGAGTCTGGTGAACATTTGGTTGAAACATGTTTGTTGTTTTATTCAGTGGGCAGAAAATCCAGACATTTTACTCAAGGAAGAGTAGAAAGACTTTATAATAAAATAAAATGTAGTTGAGTAAATCTCACTAGTTACTACCTCCAACCTTCTCTATCTTCACAAATAAATACGGTTTTGTTTTGGTCTTAAAACTCCCGATAAATATGTTAAAGTTTGTGGTTTCATTTCAAAATCTTAAAATCTTGAAGGTAAATGATACATTCTGTTATTCTTTGAAAATATACCATATTATTTTTATCCATTTATAATAGAAATCACAGGAACTGGAAACAATCAACCTGTCAAATTAAGGGGTATTTTTCCACAGGAAAGCTGGGCCTTAAGAAACCTTCTGGAGTCTGAAGACAACGCAGGTAGAGTCTGAAACAAGTCGGCGGCGGAAAACCAGAAACACCAGTTCTGAGGTTGATGCTGTCACTGGTTGTCAGGTACAGAAAAGCATGCAGCCTTGTTGTCAAATCGCTATTCTGGTGAAGACAGTGGAGCGACTCGGATCCCTGTACAGGTACGGACAGGGACACGGCGCCATGTTTCTTACATGTGTTCTATTTTATTATCTGTTTCTAATCTGAATTCACATGTGTAGAACATTATTCTGTGCAAAAATTAAGTTATATTGTGAATGCTCACCTGGCTGCTTTTGTTCTTGACTTTTTGCAGTTTCCATGAGTGAAGTTACTGTGAATTTACACTTTAAATATCATCTGTAACAATGCAGTTTTGAAGTGGTTCTGATGAGATGATCTCATGTTACTTTTGTTTAGGTGCAATTGATCAAAATGGCTAAAAGAGACAGGAGCGCATCAGGTAACATACTGTTTCTGGATTTTTAATGTAAATATTTTAAAGCTTGCTAGTCACCAAAACTTTAGTCTGAATGTTGTCATTTGTATTAAGACCAAATATTTCTGTCATTTTTAGCAAATCTTGCAGGTTTTATTCTGTTAACTTTAAATTCATGCATTGATTTGAATATTTTAAAGTTTACTAGTCACTAAGACTTTAGTCTGAATGTTGTAATTTGTATTTAGACCAATCAATATTTTTGTTATTTTTCTTTTTAGCATTTTTAGGTTATTTTTGTTAGTTTTAAATTAACAATGTATTTTATTTTTAGATAACCAATAATTATTTTAATCTAATATTTACTGACAATGTTTTTTTTAAAAATTAAATTAAACACAGAATTTAATCACTAAATAGTTATTTTATCCTGCAGGAAGTTCAGTGTTTTACAACTCAATCACAAATGCACAAGAAATCAGGTCTGGATACTTGCTCAAGTCTCCTCCTCAAAAGCGTTTGAAGTCAGAGGTCAGGAACTTTTTCTCACTTTTATTGCAACTCTGTGCAGTTTTTGTTTTCTATAACTAAATGTCTTATTTGTTATTTCTCCTGCAGTGGAAGAGGCGTTTCTTTGTGCTTTACAAGTCCCCAGAGAACAACTATCAGCTCAGGTACTACAGGAATGCAGAGGACCGGGTCAACCCGCTCGGAGCCATAGACATGACGCAGTACGTTCTCATGTTTTCACCATGTTGCATCAATCTCAGGCTAATTTGCTGCTTTCAAAATGCTTAAGGGAGGTTAAAATGACACTGTGTCTCTCTGCCAGAATCTCACTGTTGTATGCGAACCCTCAACATCACCAGAAATGGGAATGGGTCCAGAGGAGTTTTAAATGCTCCCCATCGTGTGTGGTGTACCTCAGGGCAGGGAACCGGGACTACTTCCTCATTGCGGAGAACAGGTTAGAAGGTTCTGCTTTTGTTGAATTTTTATTTTTATTTTTTTTTACCCTTTTTGCGTGATACGTGACAGTTTCAACAAATATGTAAAAAATATGTTATATACTGCACCGTTAAATATGCACAATCACATTGAGTTAGATCTCAGTATATCTCACTCAGCAGATCTGTGCTTTGCACATATTGCACTTTCAGTTCCACGTTTTACCTGAATTTGTCGTGTTTGCAGGTGCAGCTCAGACTGTGATTGAATCATTTTGTGTGTGAACGCAGTTGGCATCATTTTAATGTATTTCCATGAATCACTTCCTTAAACATGATTCACCAATTACTGTTTTTAGAGTTAAACCAGCCAAAAACAAATGATGGTGCTCCTTTCCCCTTTCCACTAGGCAATCATCTGATAATGGCTTTTCCACAAAATAAATCTCTGCTAAGTGTTGGCGTTCCCTCCCTGGATTTGATTTTTGGAACTAGATTTGAAATTAAAATGTCACAGATGTGATTTGTTGAGTCTCAGAATTGCCTTTTTCCCCTTTTAGCTCGGAGGCGGACGGCTGGTTCACTGACCTGTTTGAAGCCCTGAAAAATCGTCCTCATAAATTTCTCAAATCAGAGGTGCATTAAGCTTTTACGCCTTCTTCCATGCTCCTTATGTTTTCTGTTGCATTGAGAATAGTTTTATTTCCACTTATATACCATGTTGTTTATTTGTTTATTGATTTTTTCATCCTTCTCGTCTAGGAAATCAGCAACGGGCAGCCAGTCATTGATGTAAGCATGTGGAGTTTATTTTATGTTGTGCAAATATTCAAGAGCAGCTTTAATATTCTCTAAAATATATTTTATGATGATTAAGGAAAAGGGTTAATAACCTATGCTGTCATTTTTCTTGCAGGACCACTTGTACATAAAACCTTGCAAATAATTTTTCAATTTGAGAAACAATTCAAATAATTATTTTGTTGTAATAATTCCAATAAAATTAATTAGAAAAATTATTTTATTACATTAGTAATAGAATAACTATTATATTACAATATAATATGTTAGAATAAAAAAGATATATATTTTAAATGTATATTTTTTAAATATGTATTTTAAAAAATAATTTTTCTAACTATGCTTTAAATATTTTAAACTATTTCTGTTTTAGAAACTGAAATGTTCATTAATTTTATTGGGATTTTATATGATAGACCAACACAAAGTCGATTCTAGATTCAAAATTTACTTTAAGACACAATGCAGAATAAAATTATGTTGCACAAGCTCACATAAACACATAAAGAAAGTCAGCACAGTTTAAAAATAGGCAAGAATAACAAAAATAAATATAAAATCTGAAGTACAAAGTAAAAAAAAAAGTTAAATTATTGCACAACATCAGCCATTTCTGGTTCATTTGTGCCAGAGTTTTTCCTAAGATAGTCAAAACTTGTTTTATAACCCAATCCTGCTTTTAATAACTTTTCCACCTGTTTGCCGTGTCCCTTAGATGATGCTGTTTGTTCACAGAACAGCTGATTTATACTCGGATTACATCAATTTAAATCTTAGTGAAACACATTATGATTCGTAGTTGTAACACAATGTGAACTGGATATGAATACTTTAGTGAGGCTATAATGCAGGAACTTGACAAAAGAGCTTTTCTTCTCCTTAAATAACACTTTCTTGTCCAGAAACTGTTGTTTCGTTTTATTTCCTTTCCAGTTCTCAAACTCACAATTCTGTTTTTGTTTTGACTCCCTGTAAATAAAAAAGAAAACTCCCCAAACTGTTGTTCCATGAAGTAGTATCAGATCATCATCAGATTCTGAATAAAAATACTTTTCTTTTCCTGTTCTATCAGACAATTTCAAACCCTCTTCACCGGAGAAAGTTTTCTGCCCCAGAGCCCCAGGTTAGTCGAGATGTAATAAAAAACATTTTAACTGTGTCCTGTTAATTCATCAGGACTGTAAAATTTATGTTATGTAACTTTTTGGTGAATAATTTCACTGAAAGTGTTTTTAACCAGGAGCTCGGTTCCAGTAGATGTTTATATCTGCCAACAAAGAAAGCGGACTAAACTATTTAGCCTGTTTAGTCCGTTTTATTCCAACTCTGGTTCGTTTATATCGAAAGTCCGGTTCGTTTGGGGAGGTGTAAATGCGTCATCTCATTCTGATGGGAGTCAAAAAGGCGAACTCCGGTCCGTCTAAAAACCCAAGTCTCGGTTTGGTTGCAGTGGACTCGGACTACAAAGCAAAGCATTCTGGGTAAATACAACTAAAACAAAGTCGCGATTTTAACGTTAGCATCAGAAATCGCTTGTAGTCTTTTGAGAAAGACAAAAGGCCGCTACAATCTGACGCCACTTAATCTTTGTTTACATTTCGTGAAGAAGGAAGTTGCGCTCGTGTCTTCTTCTGTGGTTTTCGCGTCGTTTCATCCAGTGGTTATCGGTACAGCGCCACCACAGGGGAGTGGGCGAACAGGTCGATCATAAGTTTAGTCAGTTTGACACAGTGCAGCGTTAAAGTGAACTGCATCAGCTGAATTTTTATTTTATTTTATTTTTTAAAATTTAACAATTTTGGTCCCCATTTAATTGGACTGAATCTACCAGGTGTGAGAAAAACCCAAAGACTTCCTGAACATGTTGATATTTCTATGCAAACGACGATAACACTTTCCTACATGCCCATCACAAGATTGTAGAAAAAATGCTTTAGGTTTAGAGTTTAAAAGTGGTTAAAATCTGAAATCATTAAAAATGTGACAAACCTGGTTCGCTTGAAAGACATGCAGATCAGACTTGTGATTTCATAGTAATAAGACAATTACTTGCTGGTTTGCAGGTGCCTTTTCTTAGAGAGAAAGAAGAAGATGAGAATGACGCCAGCAAAATCTCTTTGCCATCCGTGAGTATACCTTTACTTTTCCACCCATCTTCCAAGGTCATGCTGGTGTGTTTTATGTGCCAACATAACTCACTGCCACCAGCATAAATAAATATTATGCACATTAAATAACATTATTGTCTTTGTTTTCCAGTCATTACTGAAGCTTAGGTCCTTTTCGGACCCTTCCTCCAAAGCTGCAGACGGGAACACTGAAGAACTGGTACGTATCTGCAGCTTGTGCACAATGCTACATTTCGTTTGGGAAGACTATCAACACCAAGTCATGCTGCTTTCCGATTGTTTGTCAGGTGGAAGATAGTTCCAGGAGACCGACCTCTGAGCCTGTTAATGACTATGACTATCCCAAGTCAAACCGAAAGGTAGCCTGCTATGCTGATTATTAATTAACTTATAACTTAAAATGTTTGTCTTTTATTCAAAAAGTCAACAAAAAGGCTTAGAAGCTTTGGGATTTTTTTTTTGTCAAGATCTTAAAAATACGGACTCAAATCTATGCACAGTACCATGTTACAGTTGGTTAGAAAGAATACTCTTTAGAGTTATAATAGCTTAATCTTTGTCTCATCTGATCATATTTTCTTTCCATGAATACATTTGGCTTTTCTCCGTGGACAGCTGCAAATTTTAAACTAGTTTTAAGGTGCAAATTTCGCCCAGTCTCAGTCGTTAAAGGGTTAAAAGTGGATTTGATGACTTCCTGTGGGCGGAGTTTCAGAAAGAGCGGGAGTTTTTAAAGAGACAGAGACACATTTTCAAGGTGTTGAATATCGAAGTCATATTTTGTCACCTTCCTAAAACAATAGAGCACTTTTGACCAAAAATATATTACTTTAGGAAGGTGATGACTTTATATACCATATATACCATTTTTATAACAACTGAATATAGCACAGTTACTTGATTGTGCTATAAAATGGCACCATATGCCTGGAAAATACATAATAAAGTCCATTTAAGCTTCTGGAATGACTCAAACCTTCCAAAAGTATTCAGACTAAGCTTAAAAAACCAGCTCCAATCCAGGAAACCAGCCAGTTTAAAGGTTCTACTTCAACATAACGTGTTGAAGTGGAACCACTGCAGTAAATGCAGAGTTGGGTATTAACTAGTTATATTTACTGAGTTACATTTAAATGAGTCAATTTTTGGAAAATATATTTTTTTCAGTATTTTCATTACACTTTACTTTTTACTTTTACTTGAGTAGTTTTATTATAAAGTATTTCTACTCTTACTTGAGTAAAATGTCTGGGTTTTCTACCCACTGAATGAAAAACAAACATGTTTTAACGAAAATTCACAAGACAGAGACTCACAACTGCAGTTTTTGTGAAAGTTTCATAAGTTTTTTATTGAAAGAAACTGATTTGGAAACACTTTCTTTTGCCTGATTTTGTTATTTTTTGCTACTTATATGTATTATTGTAAATCTGGTCCTTAAAATACCAAAATGTCAATTTAACTTTATATTTTGATCCATCTGATTATGTCATTTTTAAATATTAAATGACTGATAAATTGATGAGTTACTCAGTACTTGGTAGACTTTTTATTTTTTATTTTTTTTTACCAAATACAGAGTACATAGGACATTGATCACTCTGGTACACATAATTTTGTGGTAATTTCACATAATTCAGTGATAACACTGCAGCAAAAACACCAAATCTTACCAAGTCTTTCTGGTCTAGTTTCTAGTGCAAATGTCTTATTACACTTAAAATATGGCCAACTAACTTAAAAGTAACTTTTCAGCAAGATATAGAGGCTTGTTTTAAGAAAATAATTCCTTAATATTGATTAAAAAGTTCTAGTTCTATTGGCAGATAAATCAACTTATGATATGGGGAAAATATCTTATTCAATATTAAGAAATTATTGACTTAAAGCAAGCTCCTATGTCATGCTAAAAGTTACCTGTGTTTTAGTTTTGGCAGATTTCAAGTTTGCTACTGGAAACTAGACCAAAAATACTTGCTAAGATTTTGTGTTTTTGCAGTGCATGCAACTGAAATTGCACATTTTCTTAACACTCCATCCCTAAGATGATACATACTGATGGCAGCTTTTTACTTTTAATTGAGTAAAAAGCTGCCATCTTAGGGCAGCTTTAGTACTGATACTTTAGTATCAGTACTAAAGCTGATACTGATACTTTAGTATCAGTACTGATACTAATTTACAACTGATACAATTTTCTGGGGCACTCTGCCTAAATCTGATTAAACACTCTACTAAAGGTGACATTTCTAAATGTTAACCTGGAACAGCACATGTAAAAACAAAAGTCCCAAACTGTGAGTTATACTGAAGTTGTGCTTGTATATTTATTTGTTTTCCATCGTGGCGTTGAAAAGAGAGCCAGTGTCCTGCGGGCAGGCAGCATGGAGTCACTGTGAGTTCTGGTTAAAGCTCCCATTTGTACAGAATAAGCTAAATTCAGCAGCTAACATTTCACACCTGCATCCCTTCCAGGTATGAATCAATGATAGAATTTAAAAGCATCCTGAACGTATCTGAGCCAAAGTAAGTTTACTGAAGTTTTTTTTTTTTTTTTTGCAGTGATTATCCCTTGTTTTGTGTTTTGTTTTTTTATTTTTTGTGTGTGATGTTTTAGCGATTGTAAAGTTGAAGTGATGGTCAACGGCACCCTGATGAGGTCCATCACTGACGTCTACACCAAATACAAGGCAGAGGAATCTCCAGCTCCCATATCAAATGAGGCACCTGCTGAAAATGGGTATGTTGTGTTACTTTCATAGTCAAAGTGCTACATGCTAACAACCTGCAGCTCATTCAACAAAGGAATTATTGCATGGTTGTCAGATAACAACACCACCTACTTTAACAACACACAAGTGTTGGCATTCATTGAGGAATCTTGAAAAGGCAGAACTTGTTCAGCAAGTTCATCATTTCACATCATGACCTCATCGGTCGTACCGTAACTCTGTGTGCTGCTGATCATTTTTACAGATTAACTAGGTGAGCTTTGAACTCCTGTGATTGTAAGCCTAATCTCGATTATGTTTATGGTTTAACACCAGTGCTGCACTGGACTGATCATTCTCACCATTTACGGTATTTTGAAGTGTTGCATAAAGATGTACAGAAGCAGTCACACTCCTTGAACTTTATCCGATTTTGCTGCATAACAACAAACATCAACGGTTTTTTTTTTTTTTTTTTTTAAAAGGAATATAGGCCAACACAAAGCAGTACATATTTCTGAAAAAGAAAAAAAAAGAACATATAGAACTCTAAAACGTGTTACATTGGCATATATACAGAAGAGGATTTAAAAAAAAGACTTTAATGTTCTGAGATCAAAAGTCACAATTTTAGAAAAAAACGTCAGAACACAGATTAAAGTCAGAATTTAGAGAAAAAAATTCAGAATTCTGACTTTTAACTTAGAATTCTTACTTTAATCTTCTGACATCAGAAGTCAAAATTTTGAGAAAAAAGTCAAAATTTTGACTTTAATCTCAGAATTCTGAGAATTCAGACGATAAAAGTCAAAATTCTGAGGTTAAAGTCAGAATTTAGAGAAAAATTAAGAATTCAAATTTATTTCTTATAATTCTGACTTTGATCTCCTTAGAAAAAATTCAAAATTCTGATTAAGAAAAGTCAGAATTCTTACTTTTAAGCTCAGAATTTTTTTTTTCACAGAATTCAGAATTCTCTGCTAGAATTCTGACTTTAATCTCAGAATTATAAGAATTCTGAGATTAAAGTCAGAATTTGGAGACATTTTTTTATCTGACTATTTCTTAGAATTCTTACATAAATCTTTTGAGGTAAAATAAAAACTGAATTCTGAGGAATAAAGCCAGAATTCTGACTTTAACCTCAGAATTCTGAGAACTGAGAAGATCAAAGTCAAAATTTTGAGATTAAAGTTAAAATATGGAGGAAAAATAAAAAGTAGAAATTCTGAATTTTTTTTCTTTCTGCAGCCCTAAACCTCTTCCATAGACACAACTTTGCAAAAATCCCCTAGTTATTAAATATCCCAAGTTAATGTCTGGATAAATCCAGCTGTGTTTCTTTGTTTGCTTGTTTGAGAACCTAAGTGAACAAACAGCATCTTAAACACCCAGAGTCAAACAGGACAGGTCAGGACAATGTGGAGAAGTTTAAAGCTGGATTAGGTCATAAAATTTTATCTTGAGGTATGAAAATGGAGTCAGTGTAGCACCCCTGAAAACCTAAAGGGCGTCTACCTAAAGTGACAGACTGGTAGCTTTGGTGCAGCTGCAGAGATCCACATCTAAAGCAGAAAAATCTGTTGACACAAACACTAGTTGTGCAAGATGAAAAAGACAAGAAGACTCTATTCATAGAAAGTCATGAAAAGTCCTATTTATAGTTTGTCATAATCTGTGTACAGAGGAGGTTGGGCTTTTAGGCCAACATGTGAAACGTGGTGAGAGACGGAAAGCCTCACCCTGAACGCACCATGACGGAAAAACCAAGCAGAAGCAAACTGCAGCGATGCTTTGCTGCAGCAAAGTCCAACTCAAAATCTGATGACTTATCTTCACAGAGGCTGATTGCATTTGAGCTATTTTGGAAAAAGACATAATTTTCTGTCTCTAGATGTAAAAATGCATCTCCAACACAAAGCATTGACTCAGAGGAGCCAATGATAAAAAAATGTATAGTTTTAAATTTGAGTTGTTGGAGTGTCTCTTCAAAGGATTTACAGTAAAGGTTAAAGTTAAGCCCGCTCTCTGTTTAAGCCAGAAAATCAGCGAAGCGTGACGCACCTTTTCTTTACCAAAAACTTCCTGGAGTTGTTGACATAAATCTGTTTTGATCCGATCTCCCAACGCGTCACAGAAAAAAAACTTTCCCAAATGAAGTCACCACCACGTCTAACTGGAGACAATTAATGCTGGACTGTTTGCATAAATACTTTAAGACTTTTGTTTCTGGTCTAATCTCAGCAGATTAAATGTGTTTTTGGGAGTTTTTGGTGTAAATTTGATTGGATTTGGGGTATTTGTATCAATATTTTTACACTTTGACCAATCTGCTGGATTGGTCAAATCCAGAAGTGTGTTACATGGGACACTTCTTCCCATGTAAGAAATGTCCTGAATGCTACATTTGCTTAAATAGGGTTGAAGAGGCAGTTCTGATAAGTCTGTTGACAACTTTAAAGTTCTTCCCGGTAAAAATGCTGAACTGAACTGCACTGCGGCTCAAAGGGCTGCAGAAATCCTCAACCTCAAGGAATCCAGTCCTGCAGGTTCACGCACAGGTCTCCCAGTCTGGAAACAAATATTTTCTTAAATTGTTTGCACGCACTTTTATGAGAACTACTTTATTTGTGAAACAGGCTGTCAGGTGACCCTTTGACCTTCATGTTTAGACGGGACCTCCATGTTGATCAGCAGCTCTTTATTCTCCTTTTACTCTGTTATCATCTGCTGCTGTTTGCTTCACCAAATTTCCTCTGATATCAAACTGTGTAATAATTCTTTGTGATTTCAAGCCAACTGTGGTGAACTGCTAATTTGCCTGACTGAAAAAATAGATAATTAAAAAATAAAAACGCCCTCTCTCTTGTGTTTGGCATTGCTGGCTCATTAAAATGCACCAGTGCCTTGTTGGCAGCAGTTTGCACGTTATTTTTTGCTTGCATGCTGTTCCTATGAACTATTAAAAAATCTTCTTTATCCTTATTTCACCATTTGTCATGCACTGAGCGATCAAACCAGCTGTTCACCACTGATTAGTTCTTTCTTCCTCTTAATCTTTCTTGTATTGTGGCTGCGCCTTGGCTGCACAGTTGCAGTTGGTAGCTCAGTTACCTTGAAGGTCGTTGGTTTGAATCCCACCCTGAAGTCTTTCTGCATGTAACAACTGCAAAAACACAAAATCTTACCAAGTAATTCTAGTCTAGTTTCTAGTGCAAATATCTTAGCACACTTGAAGTAACACAAAACTAATTTGAAAGTAACGCTGCAGAAAGATATACACACTTGTTTTAAGTAAATAATTCCTTAATATTGATGAAAAAGTTCTAGTTCTATTGGAGGATAAATTAACTTATAACATGGGAAAATGTCTTATTTAAGTGAAATAATCTGCCAAATGAACTAGTACTTTCTCATCCATACTAAGGAATTATTTACTTAATACTACAATCTGTATCTGGCTATAAAGTTACTTTTAAGTTAGCACACTTGAAATAAGACAAAACTGAGATAACTGCACTAGAAACTAGACCAAAAATACTTGGTAAGATTTTGTGCTTTTGCAGATCCTTGGGTATAAATGTGTGCATGCACACTTAAAAACATTAGTAGATTTTACTTTTTATAGTAAAATCAGAGAAATTTTATGATTGAGTAAAATAAACATTGTTCTTTTATTTTATGAACTTCTGATAACATGTCTCTGAAATTCCAAGCAAAAATGTAGATTTTATTTGCAGAAAATGAGAAATGGTCAAAATAAAAAGATGCAGTGCTTTCAGACATCAAATAATGCAAAAACAACCAACAACAACAAGTTCATATTAATCTAAAACAACAATACTAATGTTTTAACTAAGAAAGAGTTCAGAAATCAATATTTGGTGGAAAAACCTGCAGGTTTTCAGTGCTGTGGGCTCTTTGTTTTTTCTAGAGCTGTATACCTATGGATGGGGGTTTTACCGTATTCTTTATATGTATTTTATGTTCCTTTATTCTATTTTATTTTTATTTGCATTTTTTTGTGTCAATGAGAGGTTACTTCTTGTTCTTAGACTGGTGACTTTACTGGCTGGTGAAGGTTAGTTTGTTCAGCAGGATAGAAATCTACGATAGCAGAAAACGACCCTGATGAAAACTGAACTTGGTCGCAATTTGTTTAAATATGAGTTTACATGCAGTATGAAGTTATTGTTAATATTTTTCACTTCATCCAAAGCATTTTTCCCCACTTTTCTCTCTTTTTGGGAACTTTTTACTAAAGAGACGTCATGCATCTTTGGTTTTCATCCCCAGCCACAATAATAAACAGGCCTGCCAATCGTTTCCACCTTTTCTTGTTAATTTCCTTCATTTCTGCAAACTGTCTCACTGTGTTTTCGACTGTCGTATCTGTTGAAAGCAGCTGAAAATGGTGGCATTGTGTTTTCCAGAGAGGACAAACGTCAGTCTTCGGATTTCAGCACCAGCTCCAGTGGTGCCGTTTCACCTGATATATTGGAGACGAATTCGGAAAGACGAGGCTCCGATCGGAGGTAAGATTTACAAAATCTTTACTTAGAATCTTGTTTAATTTAACAAAATGGATTTAGGTCATGTTGTGTTCAACTTAATTAGGATAAAGAAGCTCTTACTGTGAGCAGCTGAAGGAAATATTTGGGAACGCCCATTTTGGCACCAGAGTCCAAGAACCTCTGGTGTAGCTTCAAAACTGTCGGCGAGAACAAATACCAGAGGGCTTCGTGACATTTTGGGTGACTCGTTTAGATAAACTTGGCCAACAGAAACGGCTGGGATGTTGCTGGACCGGTTGGAAGGGTTTCTAGAGCATGGTACAATAATAAATTGCACAACTGTTGCATCAAGCAGTAAGAAACCGTGTCATTAAGTTGTGCAAAACACTTACAAGCATGCAGACTGCAGGTAGAAACCAGATCTTTCTGCCCTTTTGTGCTTCTACACAAAATGTTTTCGTTTAACGCTTTGCTTATCAATGGTTTCTTTAATTTGACAAAACAAGTTAGCCTACAGTTGAGAGTTAGGAGGAAATTCAGCCTCCTTCAGTGCAAAAACACAAAATCTTACCAAGGATTTTTGGTTTCTGGTAAACATGAATAAGACAAAACTAATTATTAATATTTCATATGTACTGAAAGCAATATTTAAGTAATATTCTGTTTTTCCAATATTAGATTTGAAGATATCAAAGTGAAAGAACAAAGATCTTATGAATCTCTTCTGTTTTTTTCCTTCCCAGCCTTGACGGCGTCATGGTAGACCTGAGGGAGTTCATGGTGAATCTGCAGGGTTTGAAGAACGATCTCACACTCACAGAGGTGGAAGGAAAGCCGAGGTTTGTCAAATACTCTGAAACACCACAGACTGAAAAGTTACTAATGTTGAGATGCTTTATTAGAAACATCTAAGAAGCCCTGAAACAGATTCAAAAAGCAACGTTTCCACATGAAAGCATCGACCTCAGACTCAGTGCAGGCTTGCCTTGAGTCACAAATATTACAGATTCCCATTGTTTGAGCAAACAAGGCAAAGCTAGAGCTGTGGGTCCTGATTTGTTGTTTTAGCTGCAGAAAAAACCTCCTGCAGCTCAATCAGGCTTAACGTTGAGCTGGGTGAGATTTCTGCTCGTTGCATTCAGACGTGTTGTGTGAGGGTTTGTTTTCATGCTGGGATTAACAATATCTGCTTTACCTTCATGAAAACATGTCGGACTATTTCTAACGTAAGAAAATAAAAAAGTAAACTTGACGCTTATGTTACAAACCCAGAGCATTTTCATTACAACCCCATCAATCTAAAAAGTGTTAATGTTTCGTCTTAAGATTTAAATGTGCAGCAAAAATCATATCACATGTCAAACTCGAGGCCCGTGGGCCCAATCCGGCCCGCCATAGCTCTTTATGTGGCCCTCTAGACTAAACACTAATTGTGCTTAAATATTATGTTTTCAATCAAATTAATGCAGTTTTTCTGTTTACTGCCAAATTATATCAATCAGTCCCTCCAGTTTCCTGAGAATTATTGTGGAAATTCACACAAAATCAGCAAATCCTCAGTTTTTTACACTAATAATTGGGAATTTATTGCAGATTTTTCTCAAAAATAGTGAAAAACTTTCTTATTTGTGCTAAACTGATGCCTCAGCCTTAATTGATGTCAGATATGATCTATATAGAGTAATAAAAAGTCACATTTATGGTAATAAATAAGCACAAATATTGCAAATTAGTACCACAAATACTTTGATTTTTATTGCAAAAAAAATCACAAAAAGAATCACAAAGCCCTGGAGGGACTGAAAAGATGTTCAATAATATTATTGAATTTGAAGAATTCATTGATATTTTAACAGTTTGAACAGGTTTTATCAGTACAACCGGCCCTTTAAGAGGATTCCTGATTTTGATTTGGCCCAAAACGAAAACGAGTTTGACACTCCTGACCTAAATACTTTAGGTAGATTTTCATTTTTTAATCAGATACCATCTGAATCAGCATCTGAAATTGAGTTGTGGAGTTTTTTTCTTCTATATTATTTGGATATTCTGTGGAACGCCTGTTGATTTCTTGCAGATTAAGAATTAAATTAGTAATTAGTTTTAACTTTTCATTGACATTGTGGTTAATTTATAAAGTCAACAGCTGAATTGAACAATTCAACAAAGAAATCTTAGTTGTGCTTCTGGTGATGTTTGCGGGAAAGAAATGTATTTTTGTCGCTGTATTCAACTGGCATGGCTTGTTTTGTCCTGAGGATCATTTTCCTAGAATCAGATTAAAATCTTTAGCCTCAGTAGAAATGAAACTTTCTTATCTCAAGTCTTTTTCAAACAACATTGTGTGACTCAAAAGACTTTAACCCTTCATAGACCAAACAAAAAGCACTGGATGTACAGTAAATCAGCTTGTGTTTGTTTATGTATGTGTCAGTGTGTCTGGCTGGACTGGACAGCCGCAGTCCGTCTGCCTCTTCCACAAGGAAGACCGAGTTGTGGCGATAAATGACCTCCAAACCGACAGCGTGGAGGACTTCTACATGCTCATCAGGAAGTCGATGAAGGATGAGGTAAAGTCGCTGCTCCAAACAGAAGCACTAACGATGCCATCAGGGTCTGCATGCATCATTCATGCCTCTGAATCTGCCTTCAGGTGAAAGTGACCATCCAGCGTCAGCGTGGATGCCAGGCTCTGCATTGGTCAGACTCTCCCTGCAGCGGCTGAGGCACAGACTGATCACTGCGGACGACTTCAAAATGAAGGATCTCATGTGTCACATGTGTCAAACTCAAGGCCCGGGGGCCAAATCCGGCCCGCCACAGCTTCTTATGTGGCCCTCTAGACTGTAAAGTGACACATGATAGAACTGTGAAGATAACAGTGGGCTTAAATATTATTTTATCAATCAATTCAAAGCTATTTTTATCTGTTTACTGTCAAATTGCATCAATTAGTCCCTCCAGTTTTTTGTGAAAAATCAACAAATCCCTGCACTTTCTCGCGTTGATGGATAATTGAGTTTATTGCAGATTTTCCACAGAAATGGTGAAAAACATTGGATCTAAGTGACAGTTTACTCCCACCTGCAGGTGGCAGTAGATTTTTGCTTTTACAGATTCTTACCTAATGTCGAGTTATAATCCATAATGATACGACAAGTAATAAAATATTTCTAAATTACTACAATTTCTACAAAAACAATGGCAACACCCTGGAGGGACTAAAAAGATGTTCACTACTATTTAATCTTAAGAATTTATTTATAGTTTAACGGGTTTTATCAGTACATTCTGGCACAACCGGTCCTTTAAGAGCATTCCTGATCTTGGAAAATGAGTTTGACGCCCCTGTATATGTTGTATATAAACAGATCAACATGTTTTTTATTCCATTTCCTTGCTGTTGGAGTTTATGTCTGTTTATGTCGCAACAGGTAAACGTCATACAGAAATATACTTCAGTTTCTTTACGCAAGCTCCAGAGTAACAGAGGATAACTTACGTTACGTCAGCCATGCTTTCTTTGTTTGACGTCACAATAAATATAAACAATAAGAAGGAAAAATCTCTTGTCAATATGGAAAGTCACATTTTTTTCTGCTTGTTGTGGATGCCAGTCAGAATTGCTTGTACAGTGAAACTGCAAACAGGATTTCCTCATTTTTAATTTCAACTAAAAGGGAGTCCCAGTATATAATTGCTTTGCATGCATTATATTGCTCTTCTCTCCAGGGCTGAGGCATCTTTCTAAGGAACCACCCAGTGGAAACGCTGTTCCCAGTAGCACAGACAGTTTGTAAGCAAACAGGTTTGCTAACCAACAAGAAGATGTTGGTTAGCAAAGGTTGACACACTTTTGGTTTTAAATGTGGCATTAGTTACACCCTCTCAACAATTAGCGGTGATGTAAAGTGAAAAGTACAGAAAGAGAACAGTATTACACGTCTTAATCGTCGGTAATATGAAGACAAAATCGTGTCATGCCTTACAGTTATGTGCCACGGTTTGTTTTAAATATAAAACAAAAAAAATCACTTAGGCACTTTTTCCAAGATCTAACTGAATTGAGGGAACTTAGCTTTTTGCATTTAGTCTATCATAGAGTTGGGTAGTAACTAGTTACATTTACATGAGTAACTTTTTTGAAATAAATGTACTTTTAGGACTATATTGTACTTTTTACTTTTACCTGAGTACTTGTATTATGAAATATTTCTACTCTTTTTAACCCCAAAATTCACCAGACTCAGAACTGTGGTTTTTGTTAAAGTTTTGTAAGTTTTTTATTGAAAGAAACTGAATTGGAAAATTTTCTTTTGCCAATTTTGTTATTTTTTGTTACCTATATTAATTATTGTCATTTTTGTCCTTAAAATACCAAAATTTCCACTTAACTTTACATTTTGGTCCATCTGATTATGTAATTTTAAATATTAAATGATTAATAATTTGATCAGTTACTCATTAGTTGAGTAAAACTTTTACCAAATACATTTTTACTCTTACTTCTTACTCCCTAGACGTCTACTTTTTACTTTTACTTGGGTAAAAATATGTTGAAATAGTGCTACTCTTACTTGAGTACAGTTTTTGGGTCCTCTGTCCACCTCTGGTTAACTGGTAGAGCACCACCATAACAAAAAACAAAGATTATCTGCAAAGTTTAACTTTAATCACTACATACCTACCAACTTTAAATGGGTTATCATTTAAAACAAGATAACAATATAATCTAATATTATTATTTACAATGGTCTGAGTAACAGTATTCTACAAAAACAGGCAATTCCTAACACTCACTGAAACTGTGAAAAATATATATATATGCTGTAATATATAAATACTTTATATTGAATAAATCCTTTGCAATGGGTGCAAAGGATTTGCACCCATTGCAAAGGATTGGGTGCAATCCTTTGCACCCAAGTCTCTGTAGATGGTTCTACAGAGACTTGGCTAAATGGCTAAAAAATAAAATCAACACTTACAAATAAAAAATGGCTCAAAAATAAAATTAACACATTAAAATAAAAAAATATCTCTGATATACATTCATCTTCGTTCTTTCAGGACGAAGATGAAATATACATTCATCTTCGTCCTGGGAAGATGAATGTATATTTTTTGTGTAAAAAGATTATGAATAAAATTAATTAATAAGCATTTCTGTTTATTAAATTGTCTTTTTATTTCCCACACAAAAGTTGTTCAATTATTCATGTTTGGAGACTTCCAGAGGCATTGCAGAGTAGTTAGGGGCATTGGGTATTCAAATTAGAATCTCAATGCCCCACTTAATTGCACTTGACTCGCTCTAGAGCAGGGGTGTCAAACTCAATTTCACCGAGGGCCACTTCAGCATATT